GCAAGGAACACCTGGCCGTCCTCATCACAGGCTGATCGGTCACAGCTGCAGCTCGTCAGGCGGCGGCCACATAAGCCATGCAAGCCCTGCCATCTGGGAGACTTCTCCATGAGACTGAGCACTAACTCGCCCTCTCATTTCTCCCACAGACAGCAGCGTGTGACCGACCAGCCCCACAGGAGCACTGCACGGACCCTCTGCACTGGGAAGACGGAAGAGAGCACTCACGGCACCGGAGCACCTACCTGGACCTTTCTCACGAGCACTCCTCACCCCAATAAATCCACCCTCCGGGGTATTGATTGAGATTTCTTGTCGTGTGACTCTTCACCCCGTTACAATATAGAAACAAGACTATAGCTATGTTTAGAATGGCATACTAAATAATGATGTTTTGGTGGTATGCAATATCTATGTAGGTAATATGTTATTTTATTTTTTTTAGTAAGCATAAAATTCCCTAATGACCAATTCTGTTTGCTCAAATGTGCAGTATATTGCAAAGCACACAATGCACTTGACTTGACCTTCAGTTTCCAGTGTGATGGATTAACTGGAAGAACTGTCAGCTACAAATTTAAACCTCTCCTTCTTGACTGTCAAGACGTTTTGTTTTTTTTTAACACAAAACTGCTTGAATGCATGAATTCCATTTTTATTTCCAAGATAATAACTAGACGCCACATGCACAGTGATGAGGTTATATACAATAATGGCAATAATGATGTAATATTATTGATCTAATCCACTAAAATCTCAGTAGAAAGTAAGCATAGCATTGTCCCATAGCAAACTGTGTTAGTAGTAGCAAACTTTTTCGATATTTCTACCAGGCAATATTATATTATATTATGTTATGTTATATTATTAATCATTAAGATATAATTTCAGTATATTAATAAACCATAACATACCCTATTCACTAAGTCAATTGCATTTAAATAAATAAATGCAATTGACTTTTTCTCTTACAAATATGACTTTTTCATGCAATTCTGAGTTTATTTCTCACAATTCAGACTTTTTCAGGTCTTCAGGTCTTTTTAATTTACAGTAGCCTATTTGTAAAATGTTTATATTGAATAAATAAATACAGAGTGCACATGCTACTTCTGAATTCAAAAGAGAAACAGCTCATCTTCTGTGGTGCAAGGGCTAGCGGGTCATATTAGTATTACAGTAATAAGCGCGTACTGATGCATAAAACAAAACTCCACTAGAAATAGCAGACCAGCAAAATACTATTTTTAATGCACTGTGATTTAGGACACACTAATCTTATCCTATAACGGACAGTATGATAATTAGGTTGCAGCCCATTCCTCAAACTAATCAAGCATGAGGAAACAAGTACAAACTCCCAAGAGTGCTAATGGATATGAGCAGACTGCTCATCCAACTTCAGACGATTTAAACACATCTGGGCGTGAATGTTTGTGCATTCTGTTTATTCATCTATCATTCCACATTGTAAATTGCCCTCAAATATGCTAATGAGGCATATGTTTAATTGATATATTTTTACTGTGGTAACTGTCGCAGTGCTGTATCACTGATGTATTAGCATCATAAAAGAATCATTATCCTTAAGCCCACAGAGAAGTCACTAATTATCACAGAACTCCTGAGCATCTGAACTACCAAAAATTCAATTTTTCTGTCTGGACTTTTATGCAGTGCCTGCTAGATCTGAGCAGTATAAATGTGAACAGATCGCCATCAGATAAATAAGAGCTTAGAGCCGTGCAGAGGAGGAACACATCAGTTTAACCATGAGTACTTTGTAGAAAAATAAACAGACAAGTGCCTTAGGTGAGGTTTTAGAATTAAGCACTATGGAGATGTGAATCACATCGAGTATGCAAGAGACACACAGGTCAAACGGACTGTTTGTGGGTAGGGAGTCGGAAAGAGATAGATAGATATATAGATAGATAGATAGATAGATAGATAGATAGATAGATAGATAGATAATAATAGAATAGCACACAGAATAACAAAACAAACATACAATGGATGTATTGATGGATGGAACAACAGAAATAAAAAATAACTTGATAAAACAAACTTGATATAATGATAGATTGAAAGCTTGATAGAACGATATATATGATAGACAGATAGATAGAACAACAGAACAAACATATGACTGATAGGTTGATGGATGGATGGATGGATGGATGGAACAACAGACAGAATGTCAGATGGATGGATGGACTGAAGGATAGATGATAGACAAGTAGAATGACAAAACGATAACATACAGAATGATGGATGGATGGATGTAACAACAGACAGAATGATGGATGGATGGAAGTAACAACAGAATTAATGACAAATGGATGGATGGATGGACCGAGGGACGTAAGATAGACAGGTAAAATGACAAAACTGTAGACAGATCACATAGAATGACAGAACTATAGAACGATAGATAGATAGCTAGCTAGAACAATAGATAGACAGACAGACAGACAGTCAGATAGATAGATAGACAGACAGACAGACAGATAGATAGATAGATAGATAGATAGATCACTGATAGATGGATTGTTCATGTGCTCATAGTGTGCTCATAATGATTGAAACTCATGGCTCAATTCATCGTCTCAACGTCTACAGTGATCTTTTCAGCTGCCACTGACATGCACTGATGAATGAATGTATATTGAGCGTGATATAGCTCTGTCAGCGCTCTGTGATATTGGCTGTGTATACACTGACAGGAGGACTGTGCTACAGTACTGTGACATTTCTCTATGCGACAGTTACCCAGGGTTACAGCACAACCAGCACAATATGCTCACGCACTACTGTATTCAGTAACCCGGAAAATCTGTTACTGAAAAAAAAAAAAAAAAAAAAAAAGGATTGTTCAACATTCTGCCATGACAAACTATCTGATGACCAATTTTTAAAAGAGAAAAAAGTATTGACAGTGAGAACAGTTTGAGCATGGATGGGTGTTCACATTGGATGTACAACGAGAGCTGAATAAGAAACAAAATCATCATAGAAACAAAATAGCAGGCAATTTCAGAAAGACTCCAGAACATTGTCTTGTTGTCCAACTTAACCATTTTAATTCACATGGCAGACATTTTAAACGAAAGACTACTCAACTTGCAACACTTGGTTAACCAGCAACATTTTTCATCTGTTTCACCAACATCACCCGAATAATTGATGAGTTCTGCAGAATGATGGTTACCATAGACTTGGCAATATATTCCTTCATATACCAGAACCAAACCAGTACTGTCTAGTATAAACCATAGTGGACCAACATGTAAATTAATGTTTAATAAAAAATGTTCTTAATCAAAATGAAGTATTAAGAAAAATACAGTATATAAACATATTTAAAAAAAGAGATAAATTAGAAGGAAAAACTGTGTAAGATGATATGTCTCTATAATATGTTTTATATATAGTGTTTTATTTTTCAGAATGTCTTTTCTTTTCTTTTCTTGTTTAAGTATAAATATAATATGGGGTTATTCTACAAAACTAAACAAAACTAAACAAAACAAAGGACTAAGAAAAAGATACCTAATTCAAAATATATCCATGATATATATGCCAAGTTCTGTCATGAAACTCCCTAGATGACACAGGCTGATGGGTCATTAATGCAAACTGATTATATTCACAGTGTTAAACTACTTGGCACAAGCTGATTGGTTCATATTGCCTATGTAGCCAATGAGCTTACTGCTGTATATTTAAATGGCTGGTTAGCATTCACTACAGCATTTCGCAGTGCGTTTTCAGAGTTCCTCTGAATCCCTCCACTTCGCCAGCTCCACCTGTATAGACCTGCTACGGGTAATTATATATGCTACTTGTGCCACAGCAGTATGTCTTAAATACTTACAGGACCGTTCAGTGTTTGCATTGGCAGTAGCAAGTTCCTCTACTTGCTTTTCAGCAGCAGCAATAATCTACAACAACAGCAATAACCAACAGCAGCAGGAAATCAGCAGTGTAGCAGATCTATTCCGCTAAGACCAAATACATTGTCATATCCATTAACATGCTAAAATCTTCTGAGCGTTGTCATGCTAGAAATACAGTTTTTGCTTTTTAAAATATATTTGTCTCTTTTTAAGGACTCATGAATTGAATGAATGAATCAAAGTTTTTTATGCAGCGTGAACCTTTGCTATGAAAGAAAGAAAGAAAGAAAGGACTTCTTAAAGTGTATAGATAAGTTGGAGAGTTTAATGGTACTTGTTGCTGAATGACAGCTTTGGTTTCCTTCTGCTTGTCACAGGGGGCTTTATGTTTGGAGAGGGTAATTAGCAGCAGAAGAAGGTTAGAGTCTACCACACCAGTGAGGCAGCATGGGAGACAAAGAAAAAGAGCTAAGAGCTTGTTATCACAGGAGGGTTTAATAGGGCTATTCTAGAAGCAGGTCAGATGTCTGAACATCACACGTGTGATAAAGCGAGTACTTGTCTTATACAGCTGACAAGTCTTTGTCTCTGACTTTAAACTGACACTGTGGCATTACTGACCTCCCACAAAACAAATATCTGCCCCAGGGAGGCATGTACCCCCACAGACCTGAGCCTTCT